CATGCAGTAAGAGTCTTGTGTAGATGCACCCACTGTGTGCCTATATATAAGAAAGCATTTGTGGAGGGCAGCTGACTCCACTGGGGCCTGTTGAGGAGAAACAGAAATCTGAGTAGGATGATGGTGAGCTTGGAAGGTGGGAGGGTGAAAAAGAAAGAGAGATGGATGGATGGATGGATGGATGGATGGATGGATGAAACCTCAAAAGAACTGGATAAGCTTCAGATAAGCATCCACACTTTTAGGGCTTATCAAAACAGAGCCAAACCTCCAAACCTTTTGAGATTTACCCATCACTATGACATACGTGCAGAGAAGATAGCAGGAGTGGCACATGAATAATCAGCAGGGCCCACATAACTACACAATGAAACATCCAGAAAGGATGCAGTATTCAGTAGGGTCAGGCTGCCCATAAAGCCTCATGAAACTGCCTTCTGAAAAGGTGGGCTCATTTCAATTCTTAAGGAAAAATACGGTGCTCAAACTCTGCTCAGATCCCCAACAAACACATTTCTAGGCTCTCCTACTGGGATGACGTCAGTGTGACTAGGCCAACTCACACTACCTGATCAGCTCATCCGTATAGTTTTAAAACAAATGTGTAGTTAAAAAAAACAAACAGCTGCATATCAAAGTGAATGGATGCATCTAGCAGAGTTGCAAAATGACTGGGCTGTGCTCTCAGCTGCAAAACATGAGTCTGCTCTGTTTTCTTGCAGTCTCCCCTGGTCACAGTCCAGTCTGTTCGTGAGGCACCTCAGATTTCTACTGGAATTCAAAAGTCTCTTCCAGACCCCGATCATTAATCACATGGTAAAATTCATTACAGTGACTTTTGTTACACAGGCATTGGGTTATAATGAGGATGAAATATATGTGTGTGTGTGAGGAAACGTGTGTGCGACATGCAGCACAGTATATGCACATGCATATATCACGCACCCTTGGGTTTATCTTTTGTTAATTAATTCCTGACTGATGCAAAGGAAGGCGAGTGATTTATCTGGTTTCAGCTGCTGCCCAGCAAACCCATGCTGGTGAACAGTAGTTCATTCAGGCAGGGGATATAAGAACAGAGCACTCAGCAAAGAGTAGGAAATGAGCCAAAAAAAATCACACCCACAAAAAGAGAAGACCTGCTCCATCCCTGCCATGTGTGTGTGGAAAAAGAATGACAAAAGGAAACTTTTTGTGATCCCCAGAAAATTATTTCCTATCAAGGTGTGATTTTCACAACTTAAGGGATAGGATTTCCCATGAAAATGAATGGGGCCTGGGTGTCAAAATCTCTAGGATGGTTCTACCCTTCCCACCCCCACTGTTCTTGAATGAACAAAAACTGATGTTGAAAGCATTTTATTTCTTCAGGAAGCTTGATCATAGATCATGAGTCAAATTTTGCTTGCTTTATTCAAGGGAGGCAGTCCCACTGCTTTTAAATGGTCTGTTCATATGACTAAGGCAAGCAGGGTTTGACCCTAAATGTCTTGGCTTATTATTGAAACATATGTCCATCCATAGGATGAAATTTACAGGCTATGATTTGTTTTCTACGCATACTAACAAGAGCTGATGCCAAGTGTCCAGGTGTTTAATATTGACTCTCCTTAGTATTATGAAATGTAGCGTAAACATTACAAGATACCTCATACTGATGAACTAAATAAATCAGGTATCCTCTGGATAGTGCACGCAGTAAGCAAAATCCTGCCCAGCGTGGAATGCCAGCCCTAGGCCTATGGGGTCTAACATACAGCTTGTTGGAGATTACCAGGGCTTGGCTGATCCTCTGCCCAGAGGTCCATTTCATCTTTCATGCATAATTACTTCAAGAATTGTCTCACAAGAGCAGCAGCTGGTCATAAGTACAGTGCTTACTGTAAAGACAAACAAATGCTCTAAGGTTCCTGTTTGGTCATATGAATCCTCTACACATATACTTGTATAACTCAACTCCACCTTAATCATGAAGCCACAATCAGCCCCTCCATGACACTTTGCAACTACATATTAGGAGAAATACAGTTTTTTCTTTGCAGCTGAAATATGGAATATCTTCCGTTTCCAAAGAGCCAATGGAAAAGGTCTTTGCAGTCATATGAACACACTTCAGTCTAGGAAACTTTGTGGAGATTCTGAATAACCTTATACAAAAAGAGATAAATATACTCTTTGCAGCTCTACTGCTAAAGAGCAAAAGGTACTCTGAGGACATGTCTACACATGCACATTTACTGTGCAGTAACCAAAACTACTGCACAGTATGGGCACATGTCAACACATGCATGCCCATACTGTGCAGTAAATATGGAGACTTAAACTGACTTGAGTGTAAATTTGATACCTGCATCATGCAAGTATCATATTTATGCCTTATTAGTTATTGTGCAGGAACGCATGTGCAGACACCTTACTGAGCAGTAACACTTTGTGTGTGGACTGACTTGGGACTAACTTTAGTTCCAAGTCAGTCCACACACAGCATTAATGCACTTTAATGACTGCACGTGTAGATGCTAGCCTACTCTGGATTACTGTGCAGTAAATTTAAGCTGATGTAAATGCACGCATAGACATGCCCTAAATGTAGGGTGCCTCAGATGATGCTAAAAAAGTTAGCCCCAAAGAGAAGCCCAGCAGTTGGTTAGATGAATGAGTTGTACTTACAGTTTTGTACTTGTTTAAACCAAAATACATTTATCCATTACTACTCATCAAAAGGGAAAAGTCATTTACATTCTGACCTGAGGCCTTTTAGGAGCTTACTAGACTGAATTTTTGGTCAGGAACACAGTTTCAGTTAGAAACTATGACCAAGAGAGTCAAGGGTATTTAGGTGTCTATTTCCCATTAAAATTGCTGGGATTTAGGTACCTTAACACCTTTGAAAGACTTGCCCTATCCACCTTGGAAACTAGGAAGAAATGCCTGTGTTTAAGAATCATACCAGGACAAGGTAAACAGGGTTGAAAAGGTTTTGGAAGGAACACACAGACAAATCCATTTGAGATACTAAAATGGGCTCTCTTGCTGCCATTTGACATGACAGCATCCATGCAGGATAAGCAGCATGGTGGCATACCTTATGGAAACAGTCATTAAAGAGTTTTCATCTCAGAACATTTGAAAAAAATGGAAAATAATGTTTGTAATTAATTATTAATAGTTTGGGCTGTACTTATGACCCTCAGTAGTGTAACTAAGGCAGGGCGTCTGAGGCAGCAGCCTCCAGAGCCAAAAAATAACAGCTGTCACCATAGCTGCACAGCCATGCCAGCAGCTGAAAGTCACCACTGTCCCAAACATTGCCATTGCCCCAGGCATCCAGCTGCCCTGTTATGGCTCTGATGACCCTTATTCACCTCAGAAAACCCTTTCCCTCACAAGCAGTCTGAAAAATATTTTTACATGTAAATGCTCACCCACGTAAGTAAGGATGTAGTATCAGGCCCATTTCCATTAAATACGGTTATACTGCCCAAGGCCGTGGACCAAATTCAAAACCCATTAGAGTCAGTGGGAGTCTTTCCATTAGCTTCAGTAAGAAAGCCTTGCTCTAATTTTCCCTCTGTGTAGATGGGAAGTTTGCTGATTGTTATCAGCATATGATTAAAGTAAGTCATTCCTTAGGGAAAAAAATGAGTAGTTTATATGGTGTTGTAGAGCTGATAGTGACGAGGTACTCGCTTAACCAATCATTTGTAAGCTCTCTTCTATTCATTAGCCCTGGGAAGTAGAGAACATTGAACAAAATGTCACTTGGTTCTATTAATATGTTTTCTTTGAGACAGAAGGAGAAAATACAGAATTAAAGGGCCAAATTTATGCACAGCGTAACTCTGGACTACAAGAGCTTGAATCCACAGGAGCCACCCATGTTTAAGGAATGACTTGAGAAATGTCTTCATTTAAATACATGGGTATTCCTAAATGTGTGCTTTCACCATCAATTTGCTTGGTCAAGCAACCTTTGTATGTTTCAGTGCGCATGGCTGCCATGACTAGAACATTGTTTGAGAGATCAGTTTGAAAAATTATCACCTTGGGATTCTTCCCTTTTACAAAATAGAAATAATTGGGTTTTAGCAAGCAATATATTTAGATGTACACAGGTGTTAATTAGGAATTCCTTCTCTGGTGTAGTTTAACTTGAAACTGGAGATTTTGTTTCAGTGCTAGTTATGATTACAAATGAACATAAATAAATACTTAGCAGTAAAATGTCACAAACTGCCCACATCTTTCAATTGCTCATGTGTTCAATGCCATCACACACCATGATCACACATGACTGTCCGATATGATGCTTTATATAGAAATAACATCAGCCCCAAATATAGCCACAATGAATGTTAACCTGGTTCAAAGTTGGTTAAAGCTTACTGAATTCTTTGAATCAGTGCACCAATTTCAAAACACATTTTCAGATGCATTTTGAGTTCATGGTTTGTACCATGTTGCTGTTTATGCTAAGCCACTCTCATAGTAACACAAAGAAGCAAGTTATTTACATTGGTACTGTGTAAATTGAGCAAACCAATCCATCTTTACCACAAAAGCCAGACAGTCCATGTTGAATCACACAGCCTGTTGCAATGCACATTAAAAGAGACATCCCAAAGTGGACTGCTGAAGGTCAGAACCGTTCCTATTCCCCAGACATGGCTGAGAGAGCTAGAGGCAACTAGACTAATAGCCAGCAGTAAGATGCAGCTACTGTCCCTTTTGAATCATATGGAATGGCAGCAGAACTGTTTTCTCCTGATTCTTTTTTTGTTTGAGACCCAGTTAACATCACTAGAATTTCACTGATTTAAAAAATAATAGTAATAATTAGTTCACCCAGTTTAAAGAGTAAAATTCCAATCAGCAGGTTCCTACTCGATACTTCCTTTTTCTTCCTTGCAGTGTGATTTGCATGGTTATATCTAGGTGAATCAGATGCTGTCGTCCTGGATGATATGTTTAGTAAGTGCTTGAGTTCTGGGCTCCTGGGGTCAGTGGCGGTCGTAGGCAGCAGTCGCTGCCGGAGGTGCTGCTCCACGGGCTGCAGCACTGTAATAGTAAGGAGAGCCTGCAAGACAGGAGGTGATCATGAGAATCCAAAGGTTGAAAGATGCCTGACAATAGTATAGGCGGGTGAGCTCTGACCAGCCTGTATTTAGATCTACAGGTCTGAGCCTGGTCCTATAGGTACAGTGCACGCCTGCATGCTTCACTTCACACTTTACTTTTCTGTTGCCATTCTGGCTTCCGATCCTGCAAAAAGAACTTCAAGTGAAGATCATTATTACCACAGCCATGCAAATCACTCAGTGTCCAAAATGGAAGTGTTGACTGCCTAGAATAAATGACTCCCACCTCCTCCAATTTTAGTTTAGTTTTGAGTTTTCCTTAAGCATTGTATATCAATCAAATATAATTATATTTGATATTGAAACACTGTTTCAAAATAGAAACATCAGAGCATTTCATTCAGACTGTACTGAAACAAAATTATTTTTCAACTTTTTAAGTCAAAACTAGTCAACATATTTCAAAACCTTGTAATTCCCAGAGCTGGGGAATTTCAGTCTGTCTGAAACCATGCTTTGTACTAATAAACTAAACCACTAACTACAGTGCTGAAGTTCCTGTTTAGGTTGTGGGACCTTGCTTCCCTGGGCCCCCCAACCCCTGCATTTCACAGGATAAAAGTTTCCATGCTCTTGGATTCCCTTGTAAGAGCATGTGCACTTCTGTGGGTTTACCCAAATATTGGAGAGGATAAAGAACTCGGGCTCATTCTTGAAAACCAGTTGCTGACTCTTCAGAAAGTTGGACAGATTAGAAAACTGTACATTTAATGAGTGGATCTAACCAGTCATGAGAGCTGCCAGTCAGCAGGCCTGCTCTATGCATTACCAACCAGACTGAAGCAAAGGTCTTCATCATCCATAAGCATCCTAAAAAGCAATTGTTTCTGTCCAAGCAAGTGGAGTTGTGCTAGTTTTGTTACAAAGGCACTAAGTCCTAAAGAGCTTAACTGGAGCAGCAAAGAAGCAGGTTTTTCATGTACCAACACAGAGAAAGAGGCTGAAGCATGTGCGTGCACCTCCACACCTTGTCTACTGTAGTGCACGGTTTGGGTATGTGACTGCAAGCATCACAAAGTCAAGAAATTCTTTTGTTCGCTTTGCAGCAAAACCTTTCACCTGAGTGCACAGTCTGACTGAAACCTGAAGTTGCCCAACACTTCAGGTGCTGATTTTATGATTTCTGGGAAAGAAGTATGGGGACCTGTGAAAAGTCATGTGTTCAGGTGACTGAGGAGTCATCAGGAGATTAGGGAGCCTAATATTGTGGTGTGTGCAGGAATCTCAGAGAGCAATTTCTATTGAGCCTTCAGTATCGCAGCAGGCAGAAAGCACAGGCAACTGGGCAGCAACGGAAGGGCCTGAAATAAAGATGGTTGAGCTATCATATTTGGGAAAAGTCACTGACTCTAAGTTGGCTGTGGTGCTCCTGGAACAGCACCTGGACAGGAAAGAACAAAGGCAGTTTTGTTCTGGAGCCAAGGCTTTTTTAGCTCCCCCATGGGTGGATCTAGAAATTTGAAAAGGGGGGAGCAGATGATGAGGTGCATCATCACATATAAAACAACATATATATCTCTCCAGTTAAAAATAAACTGGAAGCTTTATTTATATGCTAGCAGCCCAGGGCTGTATTACATAGTTTAAGATTGAAGCAAAAATAAATACAAATTCATTGGAATGAGTTAAAAACAATCTTAAGGGCTATGAAATGGGAGCTTCCTTACCAAGAGCAGTTAACAGATAGCAGAATTACAAAAGGAAGGATAGCTTGGGGCACGAACAACATGTGCCCCTGGCTGCTGGGGGGGCATGGCAGCGCTGTCGGCAGCAGGAGCATGGCGGCGGCAAGTGGAGAACTCCCGCAGATGCTGCCAGCACTGTTGGCAGCCGGGGAGGTGCTGGAGTGGTGAGTGCCAACCAGGGGTCAGCGACCACCCACAGACGCTGCCGGCAGTGTCAGTGTCGGGCGAGGGGTGGTGAGCAGCAACTGCCCACAGGCACTGCTCACAGTGTCGGCAGTGCCTTTTTGTAGGGGGTGCACTGCCACACTCAGGGGGTGCATGTGCACCCATGTGCACCCCCTATGCATCGCCAATGGCTTGGGGGGAGCATCAGACCACTAAAAAGAAGAGAGGTTGTTAATGTCTGTGAAAGGAAGAGTTTAGAAGGGATCAGATAGATTATAATGAACCAAGAAGTCTCCCTCACTTCTGGTGAGGTAGTGAAAGACAAGAGTGATTTGTCCAAAATCACAAGGGAAAATTCTGGCCCGGCAAGGAACTGTTTTTCTGACCACTAAACTATCTTTCCTCTGTTATGATGGGGAAAACAGCTCCTTGCTGCCAAGAGCCTGACTTAGCTGAAATCTGGAAACATTGTCTGTCACCAGGAGAAAGGGCAATGTTGCTTTCTCTGCCTCCTATGCAGCGTGTCTCACCACCCAGGGCTGGTGGTGGGCATCCTCATTCCAGCAGATGAGACTTTGGTAAAGCTGCTTCACTGACGCCCCTTGATTCTGTTTTACATGACTGGGTGTTGGCACCACATGCTAGAACTGCATCATTAACAACGAACAGGATATGCAAAGTCCTTTAATTTTAACACTTAGCTCAAGGTGGTGCTATAATTCTAACAGATGAAATTTTTCTTTTCTTCTTCCTAAATTGGTCTTTGAGCTGAGCTGGGCTATAATTCCCTCTTCCAAATCTCTTCTGGTTTTCAGAATTTTACTCACTAGCATCTTGGCCTTTTATTAGGCTGAAAAAGATCAGCCTGAGGGCTTAAAGGACATACTTGGGTTTGTTTGGCCTTGTAAATAGTGGATTTCAGAATAGTTTATTTCCTAAAAAAATACACTAAATAATATATTCAAAACAAATAAATGATTAAAAGAATTTGGTAGGCTTTCCTGCACCCTTCTGTTGATGTTTAGGGGGATCTCTGAGGAGGGCTCAGAACACCTGTGACCATGTTCAATCCCACCTTATCTTGCTTCCTCCCTCTGCGTCCACATGTGCCCACAACTCTCTTCAGTTGCAGTTTCAGCTTTGTTGCTGCTGTTTCTGGCAAACCACATCATGTAATAACCCAGGGAGGGTAAGGCAGGTTTACCAAAACCAGAGAAAGTGACTACCCCCAAGATCAACACATAGAGCCAACCAAGGATCAACAAAGCTGACTGATCTCTCTGCACAGTGCACACCAGCAGCCAACAGCAGTACTTCCATTTCTGTGGCAACACAGGATGTCCAGCACTATGGGACCACACGTATCCTCCTTGGGTGGTCCTAAAAGTTGAATAGTCTCAAAAGAGGGCTTGCTTATCCTCCAAGCAAGGGTCTCCTCAATCCTGATAACATTTGCCTGCCAGTGACTATGACATTTCATGCCTTTCAAGCCAGCAAGACAACTCAAATTTCCTTTCCACTCATGCCCCTTCCCAATATACCTGGGCACCCACCAGCAGTACAGCAGCATCGTTCATGCCCCAAGCTATCCTTCCTTTTTCAATTCTTCTATCTGTTAGCTGCTCCTGGTAATGAAGCTCCCATTTCACAGCCCTTAAGATGGTTTATAACTCATTCCAATGAAGTTGTATTTATTTTTGCTTCAATCTTAAACTGTGTAATATAGCCCTGGGCCTCTAGCCATCTGCAAAAAATGTGCCACCTCAACAGGCTTCAGAGGAATATGAGCACAAAGCAGAGCATAGTGTCCAACTACCACTACACTACCGACTTAAATTTTGTAGACCCAGAAGAGGGAAGAAACTGCTTATGAATGGTCTGAGCCCCACCAGATCATCCAATATTTGGGCTGAGCATCTTGAATTATTATGCTGCATGTCATGGGATGTGGCTGCAAATACAGCAAATACCATGCCACCTAAGAGTTTGATTAAGGGGCATATGGATGGTCTTATTGGTAAGTACTCCCCTACTTACTAACACAGCTTGCGAGAGAGAAACCTGCTGCTAGGGATTTAGGATAGCCTGCTTGGATTTGAACAAGACATGTGTGGTCTTGATTCTGCAGAATATTATGAATATACTCAGCATATCAATGGTTCCCATTAAGCTAGTGAGGTTGCTCACTTAATTAGACACTTGCAGGACAAGATCCTTACTAATCATATTTCAACTCAGGAAAGGATACGACTGGAAACTAGAGAAGAGAATATACTGTACATCTGGCTGGCTTAGGCACATCATTATTATCTCCTTCAATTTTAAACAATAACAGGTGACAAGGAATAGAAACAATTTTTGTTCTAGTGGCTAGTGGAAGAGTCCAGAACTAGGAGGGCTAGCATACGTTATAGACAAGTTTCAAAGCATCCTGTTTAATAAAACAACTGAAAGGAACAAATAAGAAGATAGTAGTTTAAGAAGGAGGAGAAGGAAGAGACACTGGACATACTGGATCACTTGTGTTTAGCTCCTGAATCCTGAGTTCAGTTACCAAGTCTCTTGTGGCTAATTACGTTTTCTATCTTTCCACGTTCCAAAATAGAAGCAATGTGTTACATGTTGTAGCTCAAGATGTTCCTGATTAATTTCATTTGAGCTTTCTCCATGCAAGATACAGACTGGTGTAGATGAATAAATATCATTGCCTGACAGTGTTGTAAAAATAGCATGTCCTTCTTTTGTTTGTACATTCCTAATTGAATAAATTATCCCAGTGCTGGACAGAAAATATAAATCCAATGCTAATTTTAAAAGGTTCTGAGATATTCCCAAATCTTCTACCAAATACCCTTCCTGGTTAACAAAAAAGAAATGGAGTTGGTATTCTTTAATTACATATGCTTTCCATTGTTGATCTTGTTGATCGCCACTGCAGCCCTTTAAGCTACACAGGCCCACATTCATGAGTTGGAGCAGTAAATTCATTTTTCCATTCTGCTACTGGTTTAATATATGCACATATTCAGAAGTGCAGTACTGTATCACCTCTGCTGGCCAGGGTTATAATGATATGATCACTAAGGCTT